TTTGTAGAATTCGTCTTGTCCACCGATCCACGAGATAATAGCTCCCGATAAACTTACGAAGTCCCGTCCCCCCCTCCGGCTTCGGTGGGACCTTCGCCTCTATGTGCGTTCCCGCAATCTGACTGCTCGCTCAGTGACAGGTCGGTTGCGGGACTTCCTTGAGAAAAGCTCGAAGGTCATCCCATGCGCAAAGCACGTGTGCGACAAGGAGCCCCACACGTTCGCCACGTTCGCCTTCACGCCTTCTGCACACACACACACAAGGACACTTCACAAACGCCCCGAAAAGAAAGCACTGAAAAAGTCAAGCGAATAGGCGAGTACTCACCAAGTAGACTCAAACCCACAGCTGGTTCCATGGCCCCATGGGCACGGCGGCACCTGGGACACTTTTTGTTTCTCGGAGAACGTTCTTCTGTGTTTTTTTTTTTTTTAAAGCCTAAAGGCCTGAAGCTGAAACCACTGAAACCGACCGAAAGTTTCAAGCTTGCTTTGTTTTTGATTTGGGTTACGGTGGCGATGGCAACGCGGCGACGTTCGCTGGTTACGACGAAACTCATTTTACGCAATGTGAATGTTTCTGTTTTAGTCGACATACATTATAACTTTTAAACGTAAAAAAATGGTTTTAACATTTATCTAATTCTTTGTAATGAAGTATGTTGGTTGTTTACTAAACTGAACCTTGGCCTGGCTCAGCTTCGTTGTGTACTAAACTGTAGCTTGGCCTGTCTCAGCTTGGTTTTATTTCAACATGGCGGCGGCAATCGTTGCGTGCTGTTAAAGTGAACTAGAGGGGGGTAGTGAGGTCAGAGCGCGCTGACGGCGGCCGCACTTCGTGTCGACGGCACGAGAGGGCGTCGCGAATGCATGGGCTGGATGAAGCGGGTGGCCAGGGCGGCTCGCATTGCTTTTGCTGCGCGACTGAAGACTCTTTGTTGAAGCTTTTCGGCTCGAAATGTTTGCCGTTTTAGGTCCGAACCCCTTAAAAGAAATACGCGACACAAAATAGACGCAGTGTTCGCTTTGCGCGGGGTGCGAAGCAGAAATGCGCGACGTGGAAGGCGAACACCGCCTGACCAATTTCCTGGGCGGCGTTTCGAAACCCAAGTGTTCTTGCACTTTTTATTTAATGGCAGGTGAATTTGTTAGGAGCCTGTCATTAGAAACAGGGTGAAGCTGTTTAATGGGCAAGATCCTTCACTCGCCGCATAAATTGCTAGTTATATTATTGAGACAGGATCATACTGATGGTTCCTAGATATTTAAACAATCACATGTGATTGTTTAAATACAATACATGATATTAAACAATCACATGATTGTTTAAATACGATCGCATGCCATCCTTGAGGCTTGAGGTGCACCTCAAGCCTCAAGGATGGCATGCGATCGTTTCAACAGGCCATGCCTTTTATCCCTAATATAGAAACCGTGCAAAGCTACTCCCAATGTTTAATCTCCTTTATTGATTCATCATTATGCGTCTCGTTAAGCCAATTTCAAAGAAACCTGTTGGGTAAATACTGCTCGACAAAAAGAACTCGTGAGACAGCAAACTGTTATTTATACATGAATACACTTTTTATTAGTTAAACTCAGCAAAAACACAATACTGTAAACGACTTATTTTTGGTGGGCTCAATATTTTGTGATTACATATATTTCATTTCATTTATTGTCCTCAAGTCACCCGAAGGCATTAAATGAGGGGGGAGGGTACAAGCTGACTAAATTCTAATACAAAATACACGCGAATGTGAGAAAGACAAAACATCAGCACATACTTAAAAGAAAGACAGTAGGTATACAGTATGCTTCAACTAACCAAGCAGACGACAGTCAGTGGTAACGCAAGTGCACATACCTATAAAGGTATAACATACAGGTGGTGTACACGCACAGTACGCCTAAAGAAAAAGCCACTGAACAATGTTTCCCAGGCGTCTCTGAAAAGAGCGACGTCCACCAGACCCGCAACGGATTCAGGTAGACTGTTCCAGTCTTTAATGGCTGATTGCAAAGGCGATTCTGAAAATTGATATAAACAAGAAAAAGAAGCGGTCCAAGAACTGAGCCCTGTGGAACTCCAAATATTACATTTATTGTATTAGAAGTTCCTTTGTTGAAAATTACCGATTGTGTTCGGTGCGAGAGAAAATTAAGGATCCAATTGGTGTACATAGGGTGAAGATGTAGACTGCCTAACTTTTTTAGTAACCGCTGGTGAGGAACCGTCAAAAGCCTTAGAGAAATTCATAAACACAGCATAGAGTCACAGTATCCAGCACTTAAGCTCTCTTAGATTCAGCTTTAGGTCTAAGCTAAAGTTCTGAAATAATTCGCGGGTTCCAATTTTCGCGACACGGTGGGATCTCACTATCGATTCCAATGTGTTTACATTTTACCGGATTTGTTCGAGGTACCCAATTTTCGCGACACGGTGGAATCTCACTATCGATTCCAATGTGTTTACATTTTACCGGAATTGTTCGAGGTACCCAATTTTCACGACACGGTGGAATCTCACTATAGATTCAATGTGTTTACATTTTACCGGAATTGTTCGAGGTACCCAATTTTCGCGACACGGTGGAATCTCACTATCGATTCCAATGTGTTTACATTTTACCGGAATTGTTCGAGGTACCCAATTTTCGCGACACGGTGGAATCTCACTATCGATTCCAATGTGTTTACATTTTACCGGAATTGTTCGAGGTACCCAATTTTCACGACACGGTGGAATCTCACTATAGATTCAATGTGTTTACATTTTACCGGAATTGTTCGAGGTACCCAATTTTCGCGACACGGTGGAATCTCACTATCGATTCCAATGTGTTTACATTTTACCGGAATTGTTCGAGGTACCCAATTTTCGCGACACGGTGGAATCTCACTATCGATTCCAATGTGTTTACATTTTACCGGAATTGTTCGAGGTACCCAATTTTCGCGACACGGTGGAATCTCACTATCGATTCCAATGTGTTTACATTTTACCGGAATTGTTCGAGGTACCCAATTTTCGCGACACGGTGGAATCTCACTATCGATTCCAATGTGTTTACATTTTACCGGAATTGTTCGAGGTACCCAATTTTCGCGACACGGTGGAATCTCACTATAGATTCAATGTGTTTACATTTTACCGGAATTGTTCGAGGTACCCAATTTTCGCGACACGGTGGAATCTCACTATAGATTCAATGTGTTTACATTTTACCGGAATTGTTCGAGGTACCCAAGTTTCGCGACACGGTGGAATCTCACTATCGATTCCAATGTGTTTACATTTTACCGGATTTGTTCGAGGTACCCAATTTTCACGACACGGTGGAATCTCACTATCGATTCCAATGTGTTTACATTTTACCGGAATTGTTCGAGGTACCCAATTTTCACGACACGGTGGAATCTCACTATCGATTCCAATGTGTTTACATTTTACCGGATTTGTTCGAGGTACCCAATTTTCACGACACGGTGGAATCTCACTATCGATTCCAATGTGTTTACATTTTACCGGATTTGTTCGAGGTACCCAATTTTCACGACACGGTGGAATCTCACTATCGATTCCAATGTGTTTACATTTTACCGGATTTGTTCGAGGTACCCAATTTTCACGACACGGTGGAATCTCACTATCGATTCCAATGTGTTTACATTTTACCGGAATTGTTCGAGGTACCCAATTTTCGCGACACGGTGGAATCTCACTATCGATTCCAATGTGTTTACATTTTACCGGAATTGTTCGAGGTACCCAATTTTCACGACACGGTGGAATCTCACTATAGATTCAATGTGTTTACATTTTACCGGAATTGTTCGAGGTACCCAATTTTCGCGACACGGTGGAATCTCACTATCGATTCCAATGTGTTTACATTTTACCGGATTTGTTCGAGGTACCCAATTTTCGCGACACGGTGGAATCTCACTATCGATTCCAATGTGTTTACATTTTACCGGAATTGTTCGAGGTACCCAATTTTCACGACACGGTGGAATCTCACTATAGATTCAATGTGTTTACATTTTACCGGAATTGTTCGAGGTACCCAATTTTCGCGACACGGTGGAATCTCACTATCGATTCCAATGTGTTTACATTTTACCGGAATTGTTCGAGGTACCCAATTTTCGCGACACGGTGGAATCTCACTATCGATTCCAATGTGTTTACATTTTACCGGAATTGTTCGAGGTACCCAATTTTCGCGACACGGTGGAATCTCACTATAGATTCAATGTGTTTACATTTTACCGGAATTGTTCGAGGTACCCAATTTTCGCGACACGGTGGAATCTCACTATCGATTCCAATGTGTTTACATTTTACCGGAATTGTTCGAGGTACCCAATTTTCACGACACGGTGGAATCTCACTATCGATTCCAATGTGTTTACATTTTACCGGATTTGTTCGAGGTACCCAATTTTCGCGACACGGTGGAATCTCACTATCGATTCCAATGTGTTTACATTTTACCGGAATTGTTCGAGGTACCCAATTTTCACGACACGGTGGAATCTCACTATCGATTCCAATGTGTTTACATTTTACCGGAATTGTTCGAGGTACCCAATTTTCGCGACACGGTGGAATCTCACTATCGATTCCAATGTGTTTACATTTTACCGGATTTGTTCGAGGTACCCAATTTTCGCGACACGGTGGAATCTCACTATCGATTCCAATGTGTTTACATTTTACCGGAATTGTTCGAGGTACCCAATTTTCACGACACGGTGGAATCTCACTATAGATTCAATGTGTTTACATTTTACCGGAATTGTTTGGGGGACCTAATTTTTGCGACAAGGTGGGATCTCACTATAGATTCCAATGTGTTTACATTTTACCGGAATTGTTCGAGGGACCCATTTTTCGCAATTTGTAGGCGATTCGCAAAAATTAAGTCGTTTACAGTATTTACATTTCTATCACACTCGAAGGGCAACGTAGGGCGTGTTTGGAGCAATCCTAGCTAAGAGCAGCGACTGATTTTTGTGTGCATCTTTTTTTTTCTACGCGATTCTCGCGACTGGTTCAGCCCTTTCACATAAAAGTGAAGCCTTGTTAAAACGTAAAACTTTACCAATGCTGCCGTGAGCACACTTGCATGTTGGCTGCAGCCTATGGTATGGCGGAAGCGGGATTCCACCAGCAACATAATATCGACAATGCTGTTGCTGCACAGCTTCGTTTTACTGAAAAAGAAAGTAAAACTATCCTCCAGTTTCTTCACGGCGAGGAAGAGAGCGTGGGAAGGATACAAAAGCCCACCTTTGTCGCAAATTTTCGTAAACCCGCAGTTTTCCTTGTCGGAAGAGCTCCCCAAAAAAAGGCTGCGGCACTCTGAACAATTGCTGCGGGCAAGGAACCTGCGAGCTACATACCCTGCCATGTAATGTATTAACCGGGAATCACTTTTTTGCTCTACGTATGCTTTGTGTTCGCTAGAAACGCTACGGAGCATGCACTCTGCGGACCCCAAGTTTCCCGCCTCAATTTGTTTGTCGATTTCGGCAACTTTGGCTTCTGCAGTTGAGCCATCAGATGCATTGAGCAAAGAACTGACATCTTCATTGACTTCGGCGTTGCCCGAGCTTGCTACTTTTGCCAAATTACAAAAAGACAGGCAGTTGACAATAATTAAGAATTGCGTTGGCGTTGGATGGTCGTTGGAGCCACTAGATTGTCTGACAATCCCAAATAAATTTTCAAGGGGATCCTGACTTAACCGAGATGTCATGAGGTAACTGAAACCGTGTGCTGTGAGGTAATCTAAGAGAGCTAAAGTGCTGGATACTGTGACCCTAAGGCCATCTGCTGTGGAGTCGCTCAAAAAGCCCCCCACTCCTTTTGCATGGGACTCCCAAGAAGACAAAAAATCAAGAAATTCCTTCAAGAACTCCACTTCTTTGGACCCTGGACGCAGAGCTTTTGCTGTGAAGCGGGAAGTCATGATCTTGATCAGGTTGTTGATGGTTCTGAAAGAATACAAATAGACTCATACAGTTTGCTAGCACTTCCCATTGTCGATACAAGTCAAAACTGCTGCGATAGACAAATTAAATTTTCATGCTCTGCTCAGTAAAAATTAAAAATATTAAACCGGAATGTAAACAGAGGCTACAGACTTAACAAATACAAATTTTCTCTCAGGTAGTCCTTCAAAGGTACTTAGCACGTGTTTTCATTATTTCTCCGACGGGTTCAATAGGTCAAAGGGCAGCAAACTAACTGATTAGCAGGTTTCTGCTTACCTAAAGAAGGACAATGTTGCATCGAAGCTGCTGCACGAGGACTCTAGCTCATCCTGGAAGAACTGGAGTCCGTTGATGACACGGTCTCCGAAGAGTTGGAAGGCGAAGGACACCCTCATTTTTTCAAATCCATTTGGTTGAAGGTGGACAGATGTAAGACCGGGCATCGCCTTCAGGGTGACATTGCTTGAGTCTTTCTTGAATGCTTCCCTTACAGGCCGCATGGAGACCTGAAACAGTAGCCGTAACATATTGCATCCATATTGCCTTTTTCACATAAAGACATGCGTGTTTAAGCACGAGTATATAAATGCTTTTGATAATAGCTTTTATGAAATGACTCTGCATCGGCATAGCAAGAAACGCGAGATCAGAAAGAGCAAAATTGCAAAGTGCTTGTTTTGTTACGAAGTAATAACACATACCATTCCATCCGGGGTGTTCAATGGATACTTGAGGAGCGTATTCCTGAGGCACTTGAGTAAATGAGGAAAATCTGACAGGAAATGGAGATGCCGAGATGAATCAACAGGGTGCTCAAGCTTGCAGGTAACTTCCCCTGACTTAACGCCGATTCCCAAGATTTTCCACATTCGATGGTTCCATGAAGCACCGTCTGAAGTGAGGAAATCAACAATGAGTCCGCTTGCTTCAGCCAGGATTGTAGCCTCTATTAGAACTTTTGCAAGCTCCTCTGCCTTGGCATTTCCATTGGTGGCAAACGCACCTATAATTTGAGTCCATTTACCAGTGAAAGGGACGAACATGATGATCATGCCATGGTCACAGACAACATTCTGCCCCTCAGTCATAGTAGGTCCCATGTCAACGAAGCCTTCAATGTGTCCAGAAGGTGTTACAGTGAGGTGCTCAGAAAGTTTGATCTCATCCACTAAAAGGCCACCACGTCTTTTAAAGCTACTGATGTGCCTCGTTTTCTGCTTTAGTTGTTTCAGCACCTTGTGATTGAAACCATACCCGCTCTTGTAGATTCTGAGGTAGCGCTTCAAGGTACTTTTGCTTGGTAGGGAAATGATGTCGTGTTTGCGAAGATGTTCATACAGCCTGGCACTTTTCATTTTCATCATGATACATTCCAGAACCCAGTCCTTTGAGTAGGTGTTTCCCTTCGAGCTTCTCTTCTTTGCTGCTGAAAAACACTGCCTAACGCATTCTTGCTGCTTGGGAGGCAAGGTTGCAATCTCTGCCTGTAGTAATTCGTCAGGTTTTGAGGCATTATCATCTTGCATTTGCTTGAGCTGGGCTTGGAGGTTAGCATTGCGAGACAACAGTCTTCGGTTCTTTTGCGCAGCCGCACGGAGCTTCTGAGTGATGCTTCGGACGTGCTTCTTCACTGATCGCTGAACCCTTGACCGCCCTGTTAGAAGCGCCTTTCTCAGGTATCGGCAGGAGATGCATGCTTGTCCTGTGAAGAAAAAAAGAAAACATTTAAAATTGAAACCAAAAACATCTTTCAGCTTAAATAACAATGCATCAGACATCGCAATTTACTATGTTCGATTTGACAAAGACGATGTTGGCATGACACTCTTAATTCTTCCCAAGTGGCACTGATACACACCTTCAGTTGGTTCTTTTCCTGTGCAGCGGTTGCTGAAGTATGTGCCCTCACGGGTGACCACTTGCCCCTCAAGGCCCTTTGTAAGGTAGGATCTTGGCACGTCGCTCGTCGGCACGGCACCTCCACAGAGACGATACGAGTCGACGTCTCGGAGAAGAACCTCCGCTTCCTCGCAGCTGACGACGCGTCCTCCTTCAGCCATGCGGCCACTAAGATGAACAGTGTATACAACTCCAGGCCTGCTGTCTCGTGAAAAAATAACTACTCTCTCGGATAAAACTTCATTGTCACACATTTTAAGTTTACAATACACGAGACCACTGAGGCTCGGAACTCGGTGACAGTTCCAGTACTCGGAGGGGACACACAGCTTGGAGTATTCTTCGGGCATACAGGCTTCATCAGCTTCATCAAACGCCCCGGTATCGGCTGCAACCGGTGTGGTGCTGCCAGTGCTGCTGCAGGCAGTTGGAGAGGCAGTGTTTTGCTTTTTTTTACCGTCAACTGAGGAAGCATCGGCGTTCTTTCGCTTTCTCGGGGGCCTCGGCTGCGACGTCTTCTTTGACAGGTAGCTCGGAGCATTCGGCAGCAACGTCGGCACAGCGCCAGGCAAGAGCTGCGGCTTTCCGCGCGGAATGCGCACCTCTTCTCCGTTTACAACGTGAACGTAGTCTCGCGTTGTAAACGATGGCTCAAAATGAAGCTCACACACCGAACACGTTTCGTCGAGGAGCTTATCCTTGCGATGCAAGTTCCGTTCCCAAAGTTTTCTTTGTTCTTCCTCCTTGGGTACTGAGAACAGCGACGGCTGCTCACCTTTCCGCCATTGATAGCCTGTCTGGCACCCCGGAGCGAAGCAGTGGCGTTGTCGACGTCGATTCGGCATGGTACTTCATTGGACATAAACGACAGCAGACACGGGTAACACGGGGTGAAGAGCGGTTCAAAATGGGGGCAAACTTCGAGCTGCAAACGCTGCAAAATCGACCAAACGCAAGCCAAAGCTGCGCGCTCAGGGCCTCCGGAACGCTCGCAGGCGGTCGGATCCTACAGCCACTACGTCCGCAGCGCCACCGCGTACATCCGGGACCTTTCCACATGCGCCGTTTCACAGCAATGCATGGCGCGCCTCGGCGCCTGATCTCACTACCCCTCCTCTAGTTCACTTTAGTGCTGTGTCGTGATCAACCTATTTTCTGTGCATTGGTCGTCCTGTTAGCCACCTCCTGCAATCCACATCAGCCGCAAGCATGCTGTCCGAGTATTGTGTGCCCGCCGGAAAGAATATGCAGTCTTCTCAGAAGCAAGGCTGCTACTACGGCTGCTCGGATCGTGGCTTGGACGTCGTCGGCTCCCACGAACAGAGTCCGCGAGCCTCACGTCGTTTGCTTGGTTCCTTTACGTTTCCGGCGATGAATCCCCCAGCCTTGGCCTTGGCCTCATCCCTACAGGACCTAGCTGGTGAAAAACAATCTACGACAACGCGGCGTCTTTGAAATGCGATTGCTACGATCAGTGGCTCTTAAAAAGCTGTGTGTGTGTAGGCGTTGTAAAGAGAGCTCTTCGGTGTGAGCGCTCTTACCTTCACAGTGTGCAAACTCTTCGAATGGTTATTCAACAGGCGGCGCTGCGAGACGTGAGCCTTCGGCTTTGCTTCAACTCGCAGTGTGGTGGTGTGGTTCTCAAAATGGGCACTTATAACCATTTTCATACATAGCGTGCAAAGCTGTCAAAGGTACTGAAGTGGTGCGCATGAAAATACAGAAAACAAAATGTGTTCCTGGGCGCGTTTCGTGGACGAGTGGTAGCGCTGCTCTGGCAATACCGACGTCTCGGCGGCAGTGGTTCAAACCTACTAGACGAGCAGTTTTTTTTTTTTTCTTTTTTAGACATATTTTTTGTGCAAGATTGTGCGCATTGCCAAACTGCATATTTCAATTCCTCCTTTATTCTTGCTTTTTATTTATAAGTCGCCGAAAGGCCACATTTCTACCATCTGCTCTGCCGCTTTGCAAGTGTTATTTGCCTCCAGCACCGAGTTATATTTTTCTTTCGTGCAGCGTGGAATGAGGAATCTCACTGATTGCAGCCTTGCCCCAAAATTTATAATAGGACGTTAATCGACAATAGTTGTGGCCTGAACAGTTTATTTTGAAATAGCTGTCAGGGGTAGGAATCCCCCCTCTCGGGGTACTTGCGATGCACCTTCAGGCGAATGGTGTTGTGTGTGAATTCGGCATGCTTGACAGTCCCCGTGCTCGAAACTTCTACATGGCGAGGTCTTCGCTTCGGGGACGCCAGCTTGCCAGATAGACACTGCACCTTGTACTTCGCGACAATATGGGCGCACATTCCGGTGTTGTTAATGACCGTCTCCAGGACTTCACGACCGACTTCTTCGGGAAACGCGTTCTTGTACTCGCGTACACGTTGGCGATCACCTACTTGCACTCTTTCAAGGTCTGCGCACAACGAATCTTCGAAAATATCCGAGCGGTACTTGAGCTTGCTGCGTAAGACGCCATCTTCTCAAAACCAGCCAGTGCCACACAACCCGAAAACCCGCAGCGGCTGTTGCACGGACGAAAACGAAAACAATTTAAAGTAGTTTACATTATCTTTTTCTTTTTATTGAAAACAATTTGTGCTCCGTCGAAATCATAACACCGCTATCAGTTGCTAGCTCCAAGGAGGCATATTTTTCGACTTTTTTATAAGCGTTTTCGCAGGGGACGCACTATTTTATGGGGAGAACGTAGACACGGTCGGCGATGCAAACCGGTGCGCTAGCTTTGACTGCATTGCATGCTACGTATGAAACGGAGTATAGTCTTGAATAAGCTGCTGCACCTTCACTCACTCCCAAAGACGCACCCCACGACAGTTCCAGAAATATGTAAAATGCAGCCGCAGGATTCGGTTTCGAATAATATGCACGACGCGAAACTTGTTGAATCTCGTATAAAATGAATTCTGAAAACGAGTACTCGCAGGTATAGCTATGTGGAAAGATGCCCGCTTCTTACGGAGCGAGCCCAGGTTCGATGCAAAAAATAAAATTTTTTTTTTTTTTTACAATTATTCTTGAGAAAAATGAATGTCGACGAAACTTTGTGCATTATTTTTTTTTCTTTTTTTTTAATTTTTATTTTTTTGCACAATTATTATTGAAAAAAAAAGATGACGACAAAGCTTTGAACTAAATGGTGTCGGACTCCCTTTCTAGAGGTGCATAGGTAAACAGCGGGGCTTGGGTTGCCGGCTGGATGCCGCGAAGCAGCATTCATACTGTTTTTCCTTTTTTTTTTTGGTAGGGCAAATGCTGCTGACCTGTGACTCCCGTTGAGAAGGGGAAGAGTCAAAACAGAGTCGCACGAAATATTGACTCTCTAAGGGCCGGTTGCACCAACGTCGCTTAGCGAAAAGCGGAGCTTAGCCGGGAACTTAAGCTTAGTTTCGGTTTCGTTCGGTTGCACCAAACTCGCTTATCGCTAAACCTAGCACTAAACTACGCTTAACTTAAGCGCTCAACATTGGGCGCTTTGCTTTTGGTTGTTTCTTAATCCTGGATTAAAAACATGGCGGCTGGTTTGTCACGGTCGACGCGGTGGACGAAATTGGTTGTGCAAAGTGGTTTAGGCTACATCAGCGTGAAAGTTTCGACAAAATGACTTTCGATTGTGACAAGGATGCAAAATATTGTCGCGTGAAGTGTTGATCGACCCCTGTTTTCAAGTTGGCTCTCCACTTTCAGGGCGTGTTAGCCCTAACCGGGTAACGTACAGAGCTGTGGGGCTCACGTCTGTATTCCCGTTGGTTCTTCTGTCAACGAGCTTATTCGTATGTACTTACTAATTTTCGCATAGCTGTAACGTATTCTTATTTACCACCTTGTTTATCTACACTTGCAGCGCGTATCCTTCAATCTGATCAGCGCGTTGAATAGTGGCAGTACATGATGATCAGCTGATTGTCGACACCTCTGCCGTTTGCATTAGATTGCGGCGCTTTTAAGTAATAAAATAGCGAAAATTCAATTTCTTTCGTTTTCTGAGTTTTGAGACAATCTTCAGTGAATTTTCCTTATCTCGCGAGTAGAATCTTGGCTTCAGAAAACTGTATCGTTCCATAACTGTAACTTTTTTGGTGATCGCATTTTTTTTATATGCTTTGCTTTATATCTTTCATTCGTTTCCCTAGAACGAGATACTGTTGTTTCCGAGTTGTGCTTTGTGATGGTGTTTTCCCTTTACTTTTGTCGTTTGTTGTCATTGTGACGATGGTTCAAACTATATACCGGAACACGTTTTCAATAAAATTCAGTTGAAAGTTGCGCCTTGTTGTGTCCTCCGTAACTTTTTTGGTGATCGCGATTTTTTAGGAATATTTTGCTTTATATCTTTCATTCGTGGCGACGACAAATCGTAACGACTACTATGTTAGATTCGTGCATTGCTGTATCGGGGCAGGCTGGGGCAGGAGATGCGAAGAGACGACCGTTTTTATCGGCACGATGTAATGTACTAGTGGGAGTTTTTTTTTTTTTTTTTTTTCTGATTTTGACAGTGTGAAACTGAAGTCCGTTTGAGGCTGCAGCGGATGTTCAACGACGGTACAGTGCAGTTCTGTCACCTTGCTGATAGCAACGAGTACCATCGATGCAAGGTCTCGTGACCTGACCTCTCGAAGACTTCTATTCGACGATTTCCGGGCATTTTCGCAGCTGCCGTGGCGAGTTCGTCACTGTTTTGAACTTCATCGGTCTCAGGCTTGACTTGGTTTTAGTAGTCATCTTACCTGCCTACTTATATCCATGGTGTTTTGTCTTCAGCGATGTAGCGAGTAGTGTCCTTCTCGCGTTCGGTGAGATTTGGGGCCCCCGATGGCTCCTTCGCCTCAAAATGTGAGCACGAAAACTACTACCACTGTCAAAATATCCTGTTATCAACCCATATTAAACACACAATCACAGATGTAAAGAGCATTCGCGTTTATTTGAAGCTTTGACTTCTGTTATTGAAAGTTAAACGAAAAAATGATTGAATTTGGAGACCTTTAATTTGTTACTCACCGAAGAAATACAGCAAAAAGCAGACGCCGACAACAACTACTACAGCAGTTTTTTTTGTTTTTGTTTTTTTTGTTTACATCACGTGATTCCTCTCCGCCAATCGTATTCGTCGCTCTGAGCGTTCCCTAGTTTGCTCTGTTTGTCCCTAGATTCCCTACGCAAATCCAGCGTTTAGTTAGGGGCGCGTCTGTAAAGCCGGCTTAGCGTTGGTGCAACCGGAATTTAAACCCGTGCTTACCTAAGCTCGGTTTAGGGCGCTAAGCCGGCTTAGGAAAGTGCCGCTTTGGGTTAAGGTAAGCGGCGTTGGTGCAACCGGCCCTAAGAGAGTCGTGAAGTGTCAAAGAGAGTCATGGAAGCTGCGACTCCCTTTGGACTCCTTTTTTTTTTTAAGAGTGTACCCCGCACCTTCGCCAAAAGTGTTACGGTGATTAAGGTGTACTATATTTTACAGGGTGAAACAAGGAGACGCCAGGCTCTTTAAATCGACCGGAAAATTCGGTTTCTTAACCTATCGCGCTACGACTTTGTGCAGCGTTGCCCACAGATGGTGCATTTTTTTTTGTAAAATTTGCGAAGAGCGAACTTGCCTGATGAAAAAGCAAAGAAAGAAAAATGCTTAGCTCCTGTTGAAACGCAGCGACGCCACCGGTCTGCAAACAACACGGCGCCGTTTCGCACGGGAAACAAGAGATGGCGCAAGCGGTCGCGACGCCAACTGCCGCCAACGAACGAGCAGACGACGCCGAGAGCCAGCCCTTTTGCAGACAAGGAACTGCAGTTCCTTGCTGTCATCGCGCCTGCCTTTTTTGTTTCTGCGACTGTCGCCGCCTGCGGAACGCGCGCCGCTTTTGAGTCGAAAAGATCGTCTGCTAAAAAGGCCTGCTCTCGG